CAGCCTCGGCTGGAGCTGGCCCAGCGCTGCCATCTGGAAGCCACATGACGCCGTGGCCGCGGCACACGGAGCTCCGCTGCCGCTGTCGGGGGGCCAAGGCGGCCGCCCCGCTCCCCAGCCTCCCGCTCGGAGCAGGGGGGAACGAGATGAAAGGTGAAACGGTGCAAAAAAGGCCGTTTGAAACCTGGGCTCGCTGCCTTTTTTCCCCTCCTTGCTTCAGAGTGGAAACAAAAAAGGGAAAGTTGTGATCCAGAGAGGCTTTTTTTGGGGTGGTGTGGGGGCTTCTCCTTTCTTTCTTTTATTTTTTTTGTTTTTCCTTGCTCCAAACTAATCACTTTTCCTGCTCCCCGAAGGCGGCACTGCCGTGGGGCCCCTCACAAAGGCGTCCCTCTTCCAGGCTGCTAATTAGTTTCTGGAATTAAGCAGGAGCGTGCGGGAGCCAAACTCCTTGCAGATGTTGCCAGCGCAGCCCTGGAGCACGTGCCCGCTGTCGGGGGACTCGTGCCAGCCACCCCGGGCCTGGGACAATGCCACCACCACCGTCCCAGAGCCCTTCCAGGTGACAACATCTGCTCGCGATCCGCTCCAGCCCCGGCGGGATCTGGTGGAATGTCCCGTCCCACCTCATCCAAACCCCTGCGAGCGCACAGGAAGCTCTTGGAGGATGCTCCGAGGAGGCTTCGCTCTCCAAGGATGTTTTGGGGTCAGGGGACGCTCTCGGGGGATGCTCTGCTCTCGGAGGGTGCTCCTGGGGAATGGTCTTTGGAGGATTTATCAGGGGGATGCTCTTGGAAGATCCTCTGGGGGATGCTCTTCTCATGAAGGATTCTTTTGTAGGAATCCTCTGGGGACACGCTCTTTGAAGAATTTTTTTTGGGGAGATGTTTTTTGGGAGATGCTGTTTAGAGGATGCTCTTTGGAGGATATTTTTGGGGAAATGCTCTTGGGGCATGTTCTTGGATGATGCTCTGTGGGGGATTTTTGGGGGGGATGCTCTTTGGGGGATTTCTTTGGGGGATGATTTTTGGGGAATGTTTTTGGAGGATGCCCTTTGGGGATTTCTTTGGGGGTTATTTTTGGGAATGCTTCTGGTGAATGCTCTTTTGTGGGCTGCTCCTAGAAGATGCTCCAGAGAGGATTTTTTGGGATAACACCCTGGGGGGGGGATGCTCTTTTCTTGGAGGAGTGGGAAGAGAGGACAGCCGAGGACACCCTCACACAGATTCTTCTCACGACTCCCAAAATTCCATGGATGGAGGAAGGCACCCTGAGTGCTCTTTAGTGAATCCCACAGCACGGAGGACCCCAAATCCCCTGGAAACAGGGAATTCACCTAGGATGACGCCGCTTTTGCCAAGATTTGGGGCAAAGCCGAGTGTTTCCTGGGAAATACAGCCCCGGGGGTGCTCGGGGCAGCGACACTACCTGGGCAGCGGTAGAGCTTGCGGGCCTGGGCGATGTCCCCTTTGCTGAGCCGTGTCCTCTGGCCGATGGCGGGACGGACGCCGTTCACGTCGTATTTGGGCAGGATGGTGTCCAGGAAGATGCCCCTGGGGCAGGAAAGGGATGAGCCGGGTGGGAATCACCGGCCTTGCGGTGCCGCTGCCACCGGGGGAAGGATGCTAAAAACAGCCTGGCTAATTAAAAGCAGCCCGGCTAATTAAAGCCTGCAGGCCGGTGAGTCAGCAGGGACGTGTCCCCAGTGGAGGTGACCACGGGGACAGCAATTCCCTGCTCTGGGAAGGGATGCTGAGGGGTTTCATCCCGCCCTACAAACCCAGGGGAGCCCTTTCCGAGGGAATTTATCCTGTGCACAGCTGGAAATCGTCCCCGGGGTTGGGGACACTGCACCGCTGTCCCCAGGGTGTGAGGGGACACAAGGGGACACCCCGGGCTGTACCTGGAGAAGGTGTTCCTGGCGTAGTGCATGATGCTGTCAAAGTCATAGGTCTCCCCCAGCGACTCCACCTCCTCTGGCTCCATCTTCAGGAAGTTGTATTCCTGCCCTGTGGAGGACAGGATGGGGACACTGCCAGGGAAAGCTCAACTTCAGCAGCACCCCACCGTGGGGATGAAGAGGAGGAGGAAGAGGAGGAGGAAGAAGAGGAGGAAGAGGAGGGAAGCTCATCCCCACCTGGCTGGATGTTCTCCCGGATGATGGAGACATGGTCATCCCGGTCGGGGCGCGTGTGCTCGTGCCAGAAGCCGATGACGTGGCCCAGCTCGTGCACCACGATGCCGAATTTATCACAGTTTTTGCCGATGGAGATGGCCTGGGGTCCCCCTCCTCGGCGCCCCACATAGGAACAGCACCTGGAGGGGAGGGACCAGGTGATTCCCGGCTCTCTGGGGGGTGCTGTGGACATCCTGGTGTTCCCCAGCCAGGAGAATCAGGGCGGGGGTCCCACAAAGCACGCGGGAATCATCCCCGATGCAGGAACTTCAGGCATCCTGCCCAGGTGAGGAACTTGAGCCTCAGCTCTGCCTGGAAACTGGGAGAGCTCAGCTGCTGGCATGGGATGGCACAGCACGGCGTGGCACTGCTGCACCGGCCCCAGATCCCGCAGTCTTGCTCCCGTGGGTGCCCATCCCGCTCCCAGGAGCCATCCTTGCCCCTGCCCTGCAGCTGAGCCGCTCCAGCCGCGTGCTCTGGACCCGGCCTCGGGGTTTGCGCCCACGCAGGGGCTCCCATTCCAGGGGAAATCCTTCTCCTAACCACCGTGTACTTGGCCAGGGCCGTGCCCTGACGCGTGAAGACGCTGAGCTCGTCCAAAGCCCTGTTTCCCTTGGCGTCAGCCCCGCTGCAAGCCCGGGCCGATGCCGCGCCACCGACCTCATCCCCCGGCGGCGAGAGCCGAGCTCCGGCACCTCCTGGACCCCAAACGGACACGTCCCCCCACAAAACCGAGCCCCAAACGCCCGGGACAGGCGGTGGAGCCGCCCTGCACGTACCCGCAGGGGCGGTAGGTGAACACGATGTAGCTGTCCTCGTCATTGCGCTCCAGGAAGGTGACACAAGTGTGCTTCTCCCAGTGCCGCATCGCCTGCCGGAAGATGGCTCGCTGGCTGCCTGCGGAGGGGCGGCGGTGGGGGGGTCAGCCCGGCGGGGAAACTGAGGCACGGCGGGGCCGGACACCCCTCGGCTGGCTGTCACTCACCGCTGAAGTTGCCGCTGATGACATAGGGGATGACCCCGTCCGGCCACACTCGCTCCGGCCGGGACGTGGCTGCGCGGCGGCTCCGGGCCCGCTGCCGGCCCCGGCTGCG